TATTACTGTTGTATAAAAAAAAAATAGTAACAATTGGTTCCTATTCCTACACCTACATACCAATATGCATTTAAAATTTGAAATTGAGTTCAAGATTTCCTTATTCAGATTTAAGGAAGGTTTCATTAATCTCAAAGGAAACACAGTAAGTATTCCGCTTAACATTTGCATACATAAGTCATTTTTGTGGGCGATCCCTCAATTATAAAGTCTATGATGTTAATGTAGTGTTAATTGAAATCAATCATTTTTAAAATCCCATGAAAAGGATAGGAAGATTGTGGAATTACAAAACAAATTTGTTTACTGCATTTCTTGAAAATAATAAGCAAACATATCAACCCTTGACATCCTTCTCATAATAGTTTCCTTTTCAAAGAATGACTTAACTACCAGAGAAGTTGAAGCAATGAAACCGGTGGGTAAGGTTAATATCTGAAGCATGTATATAATTAGTAGACGGTCCCCAAATTGAGACTATCGAATTTTGTGATTTCTACGAGCATCGTTAATTAAAATAAAAAGATATTGAATCAAAAATCCAAATATTTCGACTTTTCAAAAATCTGCATTTGGTATACTTCTGAACACAAAAAAATCAGGTACATCAGGACAAAAAGCTAAAAATTAGGATAAAATATTTTTTATCAAGAATATCAGGCAACTACAAACTCTGCATCACACAGTTGTTAGTATAGTTTGAAAACTATTTAATACCAGGTGATTATAATTACATTTTTAAATCATGAGTCAATTAATTTAAATAATGTTAAATTAATAAGAACAAAAAAAAATTTTAAATTGAAAATATGTTTTACGTGCCAATTCATTGAAATGTGTGGTAAATTTGTGATTACAGAAACTGTTGCATTCAGTAACATAATCGGTACAAATCCTGTATTTACAGTCTGGAAACATTTTTAAAAAAATAAAAATTAAGCTGTTGTGAAAAAAATCTACAACAGCTGTTACTATATTCATGAAAGCATAGAAATTCATAAAGCAAAATATACTGTAAATATGACACTCATTTTTTTTCTTTCCCTCAGAAAAAACTAACGTAGTTTCTTTTTTGACTATTGACCAAGCGACTAACAGCATGTGACTGTTTTCAAGAAGCATAAATAAATGTTTTAATTTATTTTTAAGTAGATGTTTTCAGAAGTTTCTTCACATTTGCTAAATGCAATTGAATGATCTGCAAATATTCTTTGCTTGATCATCAAGATAAATTTTTTTCTTCTTATTTTTAGCAAAAACATAATGGCTTATAAAACACAGGGTATTACGATCAATATTTTATTACTCCAATCAATACGGATACCTGTGATTTAAAATTGACTTGTGAATTTATGATTTATTGTACATTTAAATTCGATTTTACTCATTGTGTCACACATTCTGTGTTTCCTGAGTTTAATTTTTTAAGCAGAGTTGATTTTTTTTAAAATCCAAATAATAATCATACTCATTTTCCTACGAATATCACATCAACGAAATATTCCAGGTATATATACACACACATTTTAAACAAAATTTTTTTTGAAAAAGTTACATTATAACAGAAACATATTTTAAACTCATTTATACCAAAAAACAAATTTCATTTTTCGCATTGCGTAATTGAACATTACATTAAAAAATTGTGAAAACTGCAGCAGTAACTACCGGAAAAGGGTTACTAAATACGTGTTTTCATTTTTAGATTTGGTTGTTATAATAAATAATATCGTATTTTAAAATCTACATGGAAAATAAGTAGTACATGAAAGAATAGAACGAAAACTTCTACAAAAAATAAAACCAAATTTTTTACTTTCTTTATTTCTCATTATTCTCAAATAGAAAAATCACAAGCATTTTTTTCCACTCCAATGCGCAAGAAAGGCATCTTTTGAATATAATTGTGAAGAAAAGATAAAATCTTTCAAAATTTTCTGCAGAAAAGAAAAGCAAAAATTTTTAATTCCCAAAGAAAAAATCTTTCTGTAAGAACTCCATAACGTTCTGCGACAAGGTCGCCATGTCGCCACAATTCTGCCATGTGGCAAACAGCTAATTAACAAGTCTATTTAAAAAAAAAAAAATTAGAAAAAGTTTGTGTGAGCTTTGTAAAGAAAAAAGAATTTTGATATGTTGCAAAAATGTATAAAGTAGGATTCTCTTAACAAGGGTATCCGAAAATCCAGTATAATTTAATATTATCAATATAAGCAATTTTCATAGATGAATAGAAAATGGAAAATGACATAAAAAGCAAAATAACGCACAAAACAAAAAACGTTAAACTGGGGTTTTACTATATATATATATATATATATATATATATAGCTGGCAAAATAGATAGCTAATTTGATAAAATGCAAGAACCTTTATTACCAAATCTGGCTATTTTATCTAGCATCAAACAGGTATAGTTAACATGATTAATCCAAAAATTTATTAACAGGCCATACATTTTCATGGCACCTAATGGTTATACTTCCCAATACAACTAAATAAAATGAATCAATAGAAAAATTATTAAAACCAATTTAGTAAAATTATAAGACTAGTTGATCATTATAAACAAAAACGAATAACTGTTTTGGAAAAATTTTATAAAATAACAATTTTAAATCTGCAGTGCAGCTCTTTATAATTTAATTGTGTTTTGGCTTTTTGTTTATTTAAATTGTGCGAAGTTGAAAACCTTTTTAACAAAGAAGTTATTGTAAAAAGCTTTAAGATGCTAAACAGTAAATTTCTTAGGTGTGTAGGATTAATGTATATTATAAGAACAGGCGGTCTTGTTTATCTAATTATAAATTGAGTTATTGAGTTATACTAATTAAAATTTAATTCAACCTTACAGCCTAAAACATTAATAAAAAAAATATGAACTAAAGCTAATTTACTTAAATTCTTTATTTCGAACAGTTAAAGTAGGAAGCTTCTCATCAAAAACATTGAAATATAATTTTACTCTTTCTCAAATTCTAACTTTTTCTTCGTTCCTTTTTTAAATGGTAATTTTCTGATGACACATTTTCTCTACCCTTTCCATTTCACATGTTTATTGAAGAAAACTTTTGAACCAATTGAATTCAAAACTTTTTAACTCAATTGCACTACTCATTTTCAATCAAGAGTTAATAAGTTTTCTTCCGAAGAAAACTGATAAAACTTTTTTAACCAGAAAAAAACAAAAATAAAATTTCGTTCTAAAGTTTGTTCAAATAAAGCAGGGTTTGAAAAAACCCAACCCACCTGGGTTTTATTGAAAAAACCCGGGGAAAATTGGGTTTTATTTGAAAAAACCCGGGGAAAATTGGGTTTTTTCATTTAGTGCTCGTAAATTTTACTGTGAAAATATTTTTATTTATTAAATAGAGTTGTATAAGTAAACACTAAAATTTCATCTGACTTTTACCTGTAATAAAATTAAACTGGAATAAATATTTAATGGTCTTCCATGTTTTTATAATACGATTAACAGAAAGTGAAATTAAAATTACGTATAATTATAAAGAGTATCAGTTATTTGCCCCTTTTTTTCAAATATTTAGATAAATATATGCATTTTTAGATACATTTTAACTTTATAGTTTCAAACGACAAATTAATCTTAAAATTATAAAAAAAGCATATATAAAAAGTTATAGCTTATTTNACATGTTTATTGAAGAAAACTTTTGAACCAATTGAATTCAAAACTTTTTAACTCAATTGCACTACACATTTTCAATCAAGAGTTAATAAGTTTTCTTCCGAAGAAAACTGATAAAACTGTGTTAACCAGAAAAAAAACAAAAATAAAATTTCTTTCAAAAGTTTGTTCAAATAAAGGATAATGTGGTAATCACAATATAAACAACTTTAAACGGAAAACTTATTGGGAACTTCGTAAATGGTTTTTTTCCCTTTTCATAAATAAAATCTACAACATTAAGAGAAACACAAATGGATTAAACATACTAACCACTTACACTTTTAAAACTATTTTTGGAAATTTTTCTCCACATACTTATTGTTAGGATTTCTAACTACATAAACCGATTTCATCATGTGCACACGTACACAGAATTCAAGGGCAATTACAGCACTTCAAACACACTAACACTCTGAGAAAGATAATTAAAATCGAATGAAAATGTAGTATGTTTGTAATGCTATAAATATTTTTGCAGCCATGTGCAAAGTAAAATTTTAGATTTCAATGGATTATACTCTTAACACTTACAGATATCATTGTGAAGAAATTTTACAATGGATTTAGAAATGTATCAAAACCATTGGTGGAGGTAAGTGTTCATATCTTTTCGTTATGCCCAGAACTTATATAGCATTAATTACCCAGCTTTCACAACCATTACAAAAAATTACAGTTTTACTATTGCAGGGGTGATTGTGAGTTCAACTCAAAAATCCTGAAGATTTCTCGAGTAAAATCATTAATGAAGCATTTCAAAAAATTAATATCTTTAAAAATTTATATCATTGATACTTCAAAACATGAAATTCTAAATAAATTATATGCAGATAATTTAAATAAATAATTATTTATAAGCTTACTTTTATCTCTAATCACATTTATTATTCTACCAGAAAAAATATTTACAAAGTGAAGAGAGATGCCAAGCATAAATTCCAGCTCTAATATTTAAAAATAAAATATACAAGAACTTTTATACATAAATGATTCAATGATTTCATGAAACTTCTGGGACCTTGGATTTCCAGAAACTTCCAGATCGCAGTTAGCGAAAAATCTGGAAATCTGGATTTTTTCCAGAGCACAATCATCTCTGCAATTGAGAGATTAAAAAGAGCAAACAAAATAAAAATAAATTTAAAAAAACAGAAGAAATAATTCATTAAATACAATTTTGTAATTTAAATATTCTACATTCAATAATAGCTTCAATTCATAATTTAATTTTAAATTTTTTTAAATAAATACGAATTTTGCAAATACTTTCATTATAATAAAAAAAATTATATAATATTTATATTCTTACTTTGCCAGTCACAACAACTGGTAAATTGGCAATCTGCATACTCCAAAGAGCAGACACTGGAACCATTCCATTGAAAAGTACATATGTAGCAACACTGTACAGTGCAGCAAATATGTTGGCTTGCCTGAATTGGCTACTGTACAAAAGAACTAAAAAGCCAATAATGGCAGTCTCGACCATTAAAAAGCAAGATTCACCCCAGGAGCTAAAATAAAAATACAATCACATATTGAAATCATAATTCTTATACCTACATTTATTAACATTATTCAAGGTTAGTCTAAATGAAAAGTGGACAGTTATGACAGCACTGGAAACTTAGTAGTGAAAGTAGGGTTATAAAAAATATAGGAGAAATGCATCACTTAAAACTACTTTTTCAGTTTGCATAAAAAACCTAAATTTAGAGTCATACTAGAGATGGGTCCTTCCAGAACAAAACACCACAAAATACAGTAAAACCTTTATCGGAGTTCACAAGGTTAAGGTTCATTAAGTTGAGTGACGAATAAGGATCAAATTAAAATAACAAATAATATTTCGAAAATGCATGAAAATTAATGAATTTACAATAAGTATAAAAATTTTAATTGAAAAAAAATTATACTATCTGAAAAAATATGATGCAAAAGAAGAACAACTAAATTTATTTAGTTATTTAAAATATTTTGAAATTTTCATCATTTGTTACAGATAGCTATTCATTTTCTGAAAGTTTGTGTGAATGCTTTAGGTCCCTCATTACTTTAAAGGCTTTGAGGCCTTCCCCAAATGTTTGCTCCATCTGATTGTATTAAATTTGATCTTCATTGGCATCACTTTGCACTTCTAATACCATTTCTTGAACTGACAACACCACAAGTTTTAACATTTTCATCTACTGATGTAAAATAACATAACAAACGAAAACATAAAACGCGTTGCTTTAGGTGTTTTTCCCAAACTGCAACAAATCCTCCTTCTCTTCTTCATCATTAGCATCAGGAGTTACTGTTTTTCTTCTCAAAATAAATTTACTTCTATATATTCATTGTATATTGAAAGAATTTTTGAAGGTTAGATTTGATCGTTCTAGTTTCAAAAACGATGTAAACAGGTATTATTAACATAATATAAATGGTATTTGTGGAGGAACTGTTAAAAAAATATGATACATACGGGAAAACAAAAGATGTGGAAACGATTAATCAAGAAGAATGAAGTACATTTAGTGCAAAAGAGTGAGCACATTACCATTGCTGAACATTTATCATCGAAATAGTATTTGTTGAATAGTATTTGTTACATCGAAATAGTATTTGTTATTACCAAAGCAAAGTAAACCTAATCTTCAATAAATTCATTGCCACTATTTATGAAACAATTAGGGGTAATGAAAGACTTGTGACATCTGTGTAAATAAATTGAGTAAAAGAAGGGTATAAAAATGAAAATTGTATAGTTTTTTCATGTGCAATGTGTACACATTGCCCAATATGAGACATAGCCAGACTTCACATCACTTTAATTTTCTTAGGCAAACTGGTTTTACAATTTGTAGCACCATTCAACTTTGTAAGTTTGAATAGTAAAGCTATTATCACTACTATATTCCTGAAGTCATCACTGAATTCCTGAAGTGTGTAAACAAATTGAGTAAAAAAAAGGTACAAAAATGAAAACTGTAGGGGTTTTTTCGTGTGCAATGTGTACACATTGCTCAATTTGAGACATAGCCAAACTTCCACATCAGTTTAATTTTCTTAGAGAACAATTTACAATTTGTAGCACCATCCATCTTTGTAAGTTTGAATAGTAATGCCATTATCACTACTATATTCCTGAAGTGATCACACGTGCCCACTTTTTTAATGGATAACACATATACATATAACTAATTCATAAAAATGCCTAAATATTAATTTAAATATTAATCAAAATATAGCGAACCTTCTCTTTCAGTATCCCTCTTTAAACTTGGAGTTTTTATCTTCAAATGTAAATTTTTAACTTAGATTCTTGTACAATTTTTAAAGAGTATTTGAGAAAAATATTTCATAAATATTCTGAGATGCTGATACATGATTTGGTATTGATTGATTGATATTGATGATTTGGTATTGATTGATAATCTGACCCTATCTTTTAAACTTTACTTGCAGCTGAATTGATGATAAAATTAGGACCAATTTAAGCCTATTAAGCAATCTTTTCACAAAAGGTTGACATTGATTGTCCTTGCACAACGACATGAATATTTATTAACCATTTAATCCTTAACATTGCCATGTGTAACATATTTAAACAAAAGACTTTTTTTCAAACTTAACAGATAATTTTAGCAATGTTTTCAAATTCAGTACTTTTATAATAAAAAATCAGTATTTTTCAATATTATTTTCAAGGATGACGATTTTAAACTTTATTTTTTGGTAGTATTTCCAGTTCAAATATTTTAATTTCTATACTATAAAATTGTAGAGCAAACTAAATGAATTAAGAATCAAGTGAATTCAAAAACATTTTTCACCATTTACTGATTATTAAAAAAATTAAGAGAAAGAATAAAATGTAGTCATGATAAGTGATGTTAGTATCATGTTGTAATAAAAAAAATAAAAAAATAAAACTAATAAACTTAACTTTTAACTTATAATCAGTAGTGTGAGTTTATTAATATAGTTAATAATACAAATAAAACTATTTAAAATTTCAATTTAAAAGATCATTAATTTCAGAAGTCAGGCTCCAGAAAAGTTTTAGGAAAAAACATAAGATATTGGAAAAATACAGGAATATGAGAAGACACATTCAAATTTTATAAACTTTCTAGGCACAAAATAATTTTAAAACAAAAATCAAAACTAAAAACTATATTATATTTAGCTTTAAATTTAATTTCTAGATGCCTAGTACCGACTTCTTACTTACCTCCACGTTCAAATAAACCTCCTCAGCTTAAACGCATTTTGAATTCAAACAAAATTTAAAAACAATTAATCCTCCAGGCTGCTGAATGTTTCCAAAATCTGATTTTCATAAATTAAATAGCTTCTTATTTTATTCCTTTTTTTCACAAATATCAAAACAAAAAAGAATATAATTCTTAACTTCTTTTAAATACAAAAAAAAAATTCCACAAAAAAAAGTTTCAACACGAATCAGAATAGGAACTGATGCTTAAAGAAATCTATTTGATATTTGGAGGTTGAAATCTAATAAATATCTAAGAATCTAAATCTATTTTTGCAAATCTTAAATCATCTTAAGATGATTGTTTGAAAGATGTAATGTTTGCATAATCTAGTGAAAAAGGTATTTTTTTAAGTAAAGGTATTTTTATTAGGTATTTAAAGGTATATTAAAAAAAGGTATTTTTTCAAGTAAAGTTTCTAATTCAGGGTTTATTAATTTCAGAAAGAAAAAAAATTCTCTAACTTTTCCAAATATATCACTTAAATTTTAATATCATATACCATACCATATTTTATCTATACCATACACTTTTTAATCAGAAAACTTTGATTTTTTTTATTTGTTATATATACATATGTTTGTCATTAAAAAAAAATTATTTTCTAAATCATTAATTTTTTTAATACCTTTTCTGTTAAATTACACAAGTTAACAAGAAATAAAATGAACAAAATTTAAAACCAATCACAAGATCGTGGAACAAGGAATAAGACACAGATGAGTTCTGTGGCCCAATGCAGAATTTTTTTTAATGAAATTCAAATAAATAAATAAAAAACACAAGTATCAAAAATATATTCATCATCTGTCTAGATGAGATTAACAAATTATATACATCTTTTTTATTCAATGAACAAAAATATATATATACATATTAAATATAATATTAGTTCTAAATAAAAATATAATTAGATAGTAACTTGTTCCATTTAAAATTAACAGATAGCGTTATGAAACTGCAGATTTTGCGATTTTTTTTACAGCTATGCATTTAAAGTCAAAGGTAAGTACGCAGAAATTTTTTAAAATATGCCAGAGAGGTTCTAAAATTTTCATTATTAATTGAAGGTTTGGTTATCACATTTTAACAAACATTAATATTTTTGATTTATTATTTGTATATCTTTTATTTATTATATTGTGTATTATTTTTACTATTTCTTGTCACTTTGTACAAATACAGCAAAATTTAGTAGCTTGTCACTGAGAAGTGAATTTACTTTTCAAAAGAAAAATTATTTACTGCCTTTATCTGATTATTTACTGTCTTTGTCTGATTATTTATATAAATCTGTTATTCTGAATAATGAATAGTAATAAACAATAAAACATGCATCAAATGAAAAAATAAAATATCTTAGGGAATTAATAAATTGTAGGAGTATTTACAAAAGGGCAGAAAAATTGCAACCAGCTTACCTAAATGGATAACCCTTTGCATAACTGTATGAAGCTGCAGATGTAACGGCTATAAGTTCTAATAAAACTCCAAGGAAACTTATTCCTTCTGCACTTTTTGCTTTCAGAATTTTCAAAATTTGGGGAAACTTCACTAGAAAGTGAAACAAAAATTATAACTACATATTTTAAAGAAATTATATATATTTGTAACATAAAAAGCTTCAATTAATCTTTTTATGTTAGTTTCTTTGCTATAAAACTTCATCCTAATTAATTATTCTAATCGAAATACTTTCTCACACTTTTAAAAGCCACATCCTGTTCTTAAATCTATTTTTGGCTCAAGTATGCATTTAATTAAGAGCAGGACATTTTTCCCTTTGCTCTTGTGTGGGAAACGTTCGATCTATCTCATAAACCAATAGCNCTGATCAGAATGGTCCAAGAAGAGGTGTTTTTAAATGATATTCAAGGTTTAAAACAACAGAAGGTTGTTCCCCCTAAGAGCAAATTAAAAAATCTAAATCCCTTCCTTGATAGTGATAGAATATTGAGAGTAGATGGACGACTGGGTAATTCAGATTTACCTTATGATACTAAATATCCTGCAATTTTACCCCATAAACATAAATTGACAAATCTAATAATAGTGCATTGTCACATTAAAAATCTTCATACTGGGGCTTCTTCCCTTCTGCACTTAGTTAGAGAAAGGTTTTGGCCTTTGGGTGGTCGCTCTCTGTGCAGAAAATTAGTGCGCGAGTGTATTGTTTGCTTTAAAGCAAAACCAATTGCGATGACTCAACTAATGGGTAGTCTTCCCAGAGACAGAGTAGTTCCAAATTTTCCCTTTAATTGCTCTGGAGTTGATTTCTGTGGTCCTTTTATGATCAAATATCGAAATCAGAGAAAAGGTGTGCTCCATAAAATGTATTTATGTATATTTGTATGTTTTGTAACAAAGGCTCTTCATATAGAGATGGTATCGGATCTAACTTCGGAGGCTTTTATTGCCACTCTTAAAAGGTTTTTTGCTCGCCGTGGTAAGAGTTCTAAATTGTATTCCGATAACGGTAAAAATTTTGTTGGCGCAAATAGGGAAATTAATAAGCTTTTGAGATTAGTTAAGCAGCCAGAAGAAGAGCTCTCTGCCTTTTTGTCTAGTGAAGGTATAGAATGGAAATTCATTCCGCCGAGAGCGCCTTCCTTTGGTGGCTTGTGGGAGGCTGCCGTAAAGTCTGTAAAATACCATCTTAAGAGAGTTGTTGGCAAAGCATTTTTGACCTATGAAGAGTTTTTAACTGTCTGTATTCAAATCGAGGGAATTTTAAACTCCCGACCCTTGTGCCCTTTATCGAGCAGTGTGGACGATTTAAATGCTCTTACACCAGCTCATTTTCTGATAGGCAGATCAATGAACTCGATTGTTGAACCTAACTTAACCATGTCAAAGGAAGGTACACTCAGGAGATGGCAAAACGTGACAAAATTAGTACAGCTTATTTGGAATAAGTGGTACCGAGGATATTTAAGTGATTTACAACAACGTAATAAGTGGCAGTTCAAAAAATGTAATATTAAAATTGGTGATTTAGTGATCCTCATCGAAGATAATATGCCTACCTTTAAATGGCCCTTGGGTAGAATCGTAGAGATATTTAGTGGTACTGATAATTTAATCAGGGTCGTTAAGGTTAAAACTCAACATGGAGAGTACAAGCGAGCCATCTCGCGAGTGTGTCTTCTTCCTATGCCAAATTAAACTTATTTTATTGTGAAATATATTTTTTCAATTTATTTTGATTGTTGAATGTTAATAACATGTCAACGGGGGGTGAATGTTCACGCCTTGCCTTGCTACTTAATAGATGGCGCTGTTAATATACATATACATTTTTTACTTCTTTTCTTTTTAATAAATACAGTCCATGTCGTCGTGAAGTGTGGTGCTTTTGTTTTCTTGTGTAGAGCTTTCTTGTGTGTGTATAAAACAGATTGATTAAATGAGTAGTATGTCCCTTGGCATGCTCAGTCGGCAGCAGGGTGATAACCTTGAAGCCTGCTTAGTATGAAATGGGAATTTTTCTGTTTATTTTTGCTGTGTGTAAGTGGCTGATATGTGAGATGGTAACTCTTACAACTACGCGTTGCTTGAATTAAGTCAGATAATTATGTTTTTAAACTTAAATACTAAATTTCAGGTTTGGTGTTTCGGACGTCCTAAACTAGTTTTGAACAGGACATGTGGGTGTTACTGTCCTAAACTGACTAAAACTGTACTAAACTGTCCAAAACCTTGAACATTGGTAAAAGGTAAAAATTCTATACATGTAACCATAGTACACATAATAATTACATATATAAATAAATATTTGATACTTTTTATACAATTTGCTTTACCTTATTAAACGAAAATAATATAATTGGAAAAGATTTATAACTTATAAAGCTCCACAATTCATTGAACAACAAAAATGAATACCTTATCCCTCAAATATAAATAAATATGCTTTTATACTGATAAATTATGTTTTTGCATAAGCATAAATAATGCAATATTAATAATAAACTTTTTTAATAAAACAAAAACCTTTCTTCATTCTGTTTCTTGCTCAAAAATTAACCCTTTATTTTTCACAATATTTTTTTTTAAATTGTGACATAATTTAAATAAAAGGGTTTTGGACAGTTTAAGACAAAGGGGTTTCTCACAGAACGGTTTAAATCCTTCGATAAAGCCCTGGTTTAAACCATGGATTAATCCATTCAGTCCTAAACTTTCCCAACTCTGTTTACTAATTTATTTTGAAATAAAGAAGTTTTTGTACAAGTTTGTGTCATTTTTATCAAAATAACCTAACAGTTATTGATTTTTTCCCTTCCAAACTAAAATCAAAGAGTTTAGTGATAAAACTGCGTTTCATAAAAGTATATTTTATATTTAGTATATTTTATAATTAGTTAGAGAAAAAAAGTTAAGTTCGAGTAATATGCGAGTTGAGAAACACATGCTAAATGCAACTTTGAAATCAGTGCAAATAAGAAACGTAATTGTTGATTTTAAAATCGTGGGAGTACAAATAAAGATGCTTGATCTCTAAATAACTTGAATATAAATCCTGGAATGCAATTTTAAAGTGTGTGAATATAAATCACGAGGTATAATTTTTAAATCTTGTAATTCAAATTGCAATGTGTAACTTTTAAATAACATAAATATGAAGCATGATATCAGGTTATAAAATAACATGGATACAAATACCGATGTGCAATTTTTAAATTGAATAAATATGAATCAGATATGAGATTTCAGAATCACGTCAACTAAAATCACATAATTCTATTTCTAAATCAACTAAACTCAAAACGTGATGTGCAATTTGTTAGTAACGAATCTGGATGTTTTTGTTTTTAAATTTCGTGAACACGCCATGCATTATATATATGAAATGTGATTGATGTCAGGACTCTAAAATTGCAAGCATGATGAGAAAATATCAGGGGGGGAGGGAAACACAAATAGAGAGAACTAATAGAGATTAAACCACTATCTCCTTGTTTAATTTTGCAAGCAGTATATTTTTGCACATTTATACACACACACATATATACATACATATATATATATATATATATA